CTGTATGGAACAGCAGTGCGGACACCTCTGCCTAGCCGCTGTCCTATCTTTCGCCCCAGCTGGTGTGGGGGGACTTGCCGGCTTCCGCAGGGCACTGGAGGGGGTCAGCAATAGTGGCGTTTTCCATACGGATCCCAATTCGTCAGTCACGACTGACGTAACGTAGAACGTGACTGACTGAAAGGGAACGTCTCGGTTACTTGTGTAACCCTCGTTCCCTGAAGGAGGGAACGGAGACGTTACGTCCCGTCGCCACAGTTGCTGTACCACCGCTGTACGGCCGGGGCACGTAGTCTCGGCTCCTCAGCGAAAAACTGATGTGCGTTTGCACGCGCTCTCCTTTTATACCCGCGCTGCGGGGCGGGGTGCGCGTGGCGAAACACGCACGCCAACTGTCATTGGCTTGTTTAGTTTACACTCGAAGGTGATTGGGCTCTCGGGCGAGATCCCAATTCGTCAGTCACGACTGACGTAACGTCTCCGTTCCCTCCTTCAGGGAACGAGGGTTACACAAGTAACCGAGACGTTTTTCTATGTTAACATGCTAATATCGTTATGCTTTCCTTTTGCAGCTTTTTTCATTTCACTGCCTTACGTTTCATGCATTTAAACTCAACAATGCAGTTTATGAACATTCTGTGTGAATCTTTTGCGCTTAATTCTGTTGTATTGCAGTTTCTTCGTAAATGAAAAAAAAGAGAGAAATAAATATGAAACTGACCAACACAATCATTTCTGACCAAAACCACATGAAGATAATAATTCAAGTTTATAAGTAGAAACATTACAGAAGGACATAAAGGCAGCAATGAAGTGCGTGAACAGCTTGGGAGACTCCAATTTGGTTTGATGCTAGCATGTTGCTAAGCTAATATTGCGATACTATAAAGATATAAACATTGCGAATACTGGGCCAAACTGTCGGTTTTTATTTCAATTAAAAATTCGGAAGTAATCTGGAATATTTATAAACATATTTTTGCAATTCTGTCTGCCATCTTTAGCGATAGTTTTAACGGAGCCTGTTGCGATGCATTCTAGCAATGACTAAACAGATTTTTGGACATACAGTAGCTTTTGAGATTATTGTGATATAATTGCTTACTAAGCTTGTCTGTGCAACATTACACACAACTGATCAACTCAAGCCATGACCATGTAAAGCTGAATTAGCCTATTAAAGTTGTTCCATGAACAACAAATAAAACTTTTGATATTAAACACTTCTATAACAGGTTAAATACATTAATGAAAATACATTTTTGCAAGAAAGAATTAATATACTGTAAGTGCTTTAACACAAATAAAAGCTTCACACTTCTGAAGAAATCTGGAATATTTATAAGCATATTTTCGGATTTCTGTCCGCCATCTTTAGCGATAGTTTTAACTGAGCCTGTTGCAGTGCATTCTAGCTAGGGCTGCACGATTATGACAAAAATCATAATTGTCGATTATTCCCTTGAAATTGTAATTGCAATTATTAATTACGATTATCACAATTTACATTGAATGATGTTTATACCATTGTTTGATGCAACAGCATGCCGAATTTTTATATGAAAATAAACAAGCTGAAAATCTTTTAGTGCTTTTCTATAGTATTAAGCCGTAAATGTCAACTATACATTGGATTGGTTTCTTCTTTAAATTATAAAAAAGTAAAAATATGAATGGTATTATAATGTTATACTAAAACTAAAATTAAAATAATGGGAAAAACCCTTAAGATAACATGTAGAAAGAAAAAAAATGCATCTTAAGAATGCAGAATAACATAAGTGGACTTTGAACAATTAATTGCCGCTTTGAACGATTATGTAATTGTGGCATCCATAATTGTAATCGCGATTAGAAATTCGATTAATTGTGCAGCCCTAATTCTAGCAATACCTAAACAGGTTTTTAAACATAGCTTTTGAGAAATGGCGAAAAAGAGAGATATGGATGCAAGTCAGATACAGGCAGACAGGAAATGAAGACGCAAAACAGGAAGTCCGAGACTCAAGCTAACACATCACACATGTGAGCAGGTTTACATGACACGACACCCTGTTGCGATGGCGTTTGTGATGTATTAAGACAGGAAACGCACGCTACCTTTGCTCTGTGGTGGGTTCTGACTACGATCTCGCAGTATGTTGATCTGGTAGACAGCACCGTACGGCTCAAAAAGCTCCTTTAACTCTTTCTCGGACCAGGAGCGGGGGATCTGACCCACAAACATCTTAATGGCGTCCGGATCAGGCTGGTCCGAGTGCTCCAGGGCGCCGTTCATCTTCCCAGCTGTACCGTTACTGCAGATAAACAGAAAGCAAGCATTAGGAAGTGTCAACAGCGTATGTCGTTATCTGAAAACACTGAAAGAGGGAAAGTGAGAGGGGTTGGTCTCTGAGCTCACAGCGAGAGCAAATTTGGGCTGGACAGATCGACAACTGCTCCTCATTAAAGCAGGAAGACATGGAGACACAAACCCTGATTAAAATCACAACAGTGTTATTACACTCAGCGTGTGTGCTGTGTCATGTGTGTGTGTTGATAGTCCTGAGCAGGTACAATTCAGACTCTGTTCCGGGTTCAATAAGCTCTATTACCATATAAAATAACTTTCATTTACTCCTCAGTTTGTACAAACAAAGAAAATGCGTGTTTACAGCAAATTTAAAATGGGATTATATGAGGCAAATGTCGCAAATGATAAAAATACACATAATGATTATGATTAAAATGTGACACTGGACCACAAAACCAGTCATAAGGCTCACTTTTTTGAAATTGATTAAATGTATACATCTGAAAGCTGAATACATACGCTTTTCATTGATGTATGGTTAGTTAGCATAGGACACTCAGTTGGCTGAGATACAACTATTTTAAAATCTTGAATCTGAGGCTGCAAAAAAATCTAAATATGTGACCCTGGACCACAAAACAAGTCTTAAGTCACTGGGGTATATTTGTAGCAATAGCCAAAAAAAAACATTGTATGGGTCAAAATTATCGATTTTTCTTTTATACCAAAAATCATTAGGATATTAAGTAAAGATCATGTTCCATGAAGATATTTTGTAAATTTCTTACCGTAAATATATGAAAACTTAATTTTTGATTAGTAATATGCATTGCTAAGAACTTCATTTGGACAACTTTAAAGGCGATTTTCTCAGTATTTTTATTTTTTTGCACCCTCAGATTCCAGATTTCAAATAGTTGTATCTCGGCCAAATATTGTCCTATTGTTTTGTGGTCCAGGGTCACATATTGAGAAAATCGCCATTAAAGTTGTTCAAATGAAGTTCTTAGCAATGCATATTACTAATTAGAAATTAAGTTTGGATATATTTACGTTAGGAAATTTACAAAATATCTTCATGGAACATGATCTTTACTTAATATCCTAATAATTTTTGGCTATTGCTACAAATACACCCGTGCTGCTTATGACTGGTTTTGTGGTCCAGGGTCACAAATATCATTATAAGACTTACATACAGTATTATTTGTGTTACCATGAGAATTACTTTTCAAATAATGCCATGACCATGTAAAGCTGAATTCGCTCTGTTATAGTAGTGTTTAACATCAGAAGGTTTATTTGGTATTCTTTGGAACTTTATTTATGGACTTGAAATACATTAATGAAAATACATTTTTGCATGAAAGAATCAGTATAAGTGCTTTAACATTTCTGCTTTAAAACCACCCAGTACATTTGCCCCATAGACTTCCATTGTAAGCAGTTTACTGTAAACACAATTTCACAAATGCTAGCTTCAACATGAATTGAACGCAGAATTTTGAGTGACTCACACAAGAATGAAACAAATCGTAATATTATAAAAACGGCTGAGCTGAGTCAGGGTGCGAGACGGATCCGTGTCACCCCTAGACGCCCATGTTACTGGTTCAACGAGTTCATGAGGAATTTCAGGCGCTTGTTTCAGTTCCAGATGAAAGCACTCCGAGAGAGAGAGAGCGAGAGAGTTATCGACCCCCACACTCACATTTCCTTTTTTACCAGCTTACAACTAACAAAACATGTGAACAAGCCTAAACAAACTCAAAAATCATTGTCTACTCAATTTATTTTAGTTTGGTTTTGCTGATCGAAGGCCAACCTGCCTGCTGCTCTTCGACGGATGTGAAAATAAATACACATCATTATAAAAATAAAAAAAATCTCTCTTTATTTATTCCTTCTCTTTCTAGCTTGTACTTATTTGAACAATGTCTAGAAGCTTGGTATTACAAGCACTTCCTGTATCTGTTTGCCAATCAAATCACTGTAATTATGACAATCACAAGAAAGAAAGAAAGAAAGAAAAATATTTATGAATGAAATACTTAAAATATAAAATGTCAATCCATTTTCAAACTGACTTTTTAGTTTAAGAAACAATGTATACTATTA